TTTGGCACACCTGTTAACCTGTTAAATATTTATGTATTTAACAGGAAGAAGAGTAGGAAGTAGGGTTGGATGCATGAAGTTGTCAATTTTTTTTATATATTTAATTAATATTTAGTGGAAGGGAGATATCCATTTACATCAAATCACTACTGGAAATTATGGAATTTTCGACTACCTGAAAGTGATCTTAAATCAAGTCAAAAGTAAAAAAATGGTCGGAAATAGCAACAAAGGTTTTTCCGGATACTAAAAGTGGTCGGAACAAGACTTTCGATTTAATTTAAAATCACTTTCAGGTGATCGGAAATTTCATAATTTCCAGCAGTGAATGCCTCCCACTGAAACTCAAACCTATCACCTCCCACATAAGGGAGCAACATGATACCATTGGACTACAAGGTCCTTGGTATGAAGTTGTCAAGTTGATATTTGTATTTTGTCTTGGAAATGTGTAAATTCTAAAATGTATTTTATAAATTTTTATATTATTATTAAGTTAGATTTGGAAAAAGTATTTGTATGTTTTTGTAAGTTAATTGCCTTTAAGAATTTAAAGTTGAAGTTGTAGGTTGTAACTTGAAAGTTTACAGTTTAGTATTTTACTAAATTTATTATTTTTTGAATTATTTTATTCAACCCGAACAAAACGAATTATTCGATAAAATTTGTACATATCCGCTGTTTTTGATAAATTAATTCATTGTAAAAAATACCTACATATATTATCTATACCTACACCAAAGTTTAAATCTTAGACTTCTCATATAAAGAGACAATCGGATACCAGTGGACTATAAATCACTTGATACAAGGCTACTAGTTGATGATATATCTACCGGTAGAGTCTCTTAGTATCATTAAATAACAATTATTTTTTATATTTTGAAACAAAATGAATAATTTAATTATTATAAAATAAGTGGGTGGTCGTAGTGGTCCAGGTGAAGTCTTTGTCATTGCTTTTAGCCTACCAATATCATTGTTAGTTCACCTACACGGACACCTGTCAAAGCCTAATTTATGCTAACTAATATACTAAATTGAATGTATAAGTAATAAATGTAATTGTGGCTGAAGAGTCACAATTATAACTTTGTCCAAGTTGAATCTGAAGATCATTCAGGGTCTTAATCAGCTTGGGGAGGCTTCCTCATTTGATTTAGTGCTTTTAGATATTAAAGATATGCTATGCTCACTTATGCATATAGCTATCTCTTATATTAGTCGTACTGCGAATAGAGTAGCCCATAATCTAAATAGGGCAGCATGTTCTATGTCTATATGTCAGGAATGGATCTCTTTCCCTTTTTTTATTTTTTATTTTTTATTTTTTTTATTGTCAACAATATGTATCCCGATTTGAATTAATGAAGTCTTTTCTTTTTCTAAAAAAAAAAAAAAAGTAATAAGTGCAATTCTTTATTAAAAAAAAAAAAAAAAAAAAAAAAAAAAAAAAAAAAAAAACTAACTCAGTGGTAGACAATTTGATAACAAAAGGAATATTCTTTCTGGGTGCCTGGGTGGGCATCTCAGATTCTCAGAGGGTTCAGATGGGCTTTGAATGGATCCTGCAATCCAGCCCATTAAAGAAAGATTAGGCCTAGTAAGATCAGTCGCAATCGTCATACCGTGCACCAGAGCGCACATAGCAATGTGCGTCCCGCGCCTCACAAAATGATATTATTTTGGTAAGTTTTATATTTTTAGGTATAAAATTCTGTGTATTCTATTATATAATTTTGTACATTTGAAACATGTGAATTTTCAGTTATAAAATTCTGTGTTTTCAGGTATAAAATTCTATGTATAATATACAATTCTGTACATTCGAAACATGATTTTTTTTTTTAAAGAGTTAACAGCAGACATGCGAAAAGGTACAAAACGACGTCCCGTTTTGGGCCAGGGCGAACAATGCATTGTGCACCCTGGTGCACAATATAATTTGTTGATCAATCGAGCAAATTATGCTATGTAATTGTGTGCACCATGTTCGATTACTGAACTAGATGTTCATAATTATAAATCTATATATTCATAATTTTTGAACTTCATATTCATAATTATTGAACTCTATATTCGCAATTACAGAACTCTATGTTAATAATTTTCGATGTCCATATACCCAATTGTTGAACTCTGTATTCACAAATCACAGAACTATATGTTCATAATTTGAATCTACTATATAGAAATTATAAATCTACTGTATTTAAATTATGAATCTATAGTATAAAAATTATGAATTTACTGTATTTAACTTATGAATCTACGGTTTAGAAATTATGAATCTACAGCATAGATTTTATGAATCTACAGTATAGGAATTATGAATCTATAGTATAAAAATTATGAATCTACTGTATTTAAATTATGAATTTACGGTTTAGAAATTATGAATTTACAGTATAGATTTTATGAATCTATAGTATATAAATTATGAATCTATAGTATATAAATTATGAATCTATAGTATAGAAATTATGAATTGGAACCGTGTGCACCTTGCATGGTGTACACAGTTGCACACCATAATGGTCCGATCAGTCGTTATATCACGCGTACCGCGGTCAAAACGGCTCTGTTACTGTTAACGGAGCGCGCATTTTTTGGTGTGTTAATTACCAACTGAAACTACAATGTATCTAAACTGTCACTATAGTGTATCTAAACCGACACTGCTTCATGTATTATTTTATATATTATCAAATGAAACTGCAGTTATATCAAAGTGATACTATAGTTGTGGTGAAATGAAATTGCAATGTATATAAAATGAAACTGAATAACATTTCACATATTTGAGTGTATATTGTGCAATGAAGCTGCAGTTATATCGAAATGATCATGTAGTTGTGTTTTAATGAAACTATAGTGTATATAAAATAAAATTAAATAACATTTTCACATATTTGAGTGTATAAATATCGAATGAAACTATAGTTATATCGAAATGAAACTGTAGTTGTGTTGAACTGAAACTGCAGTGTATACAAAATGAAACTAAATAACAAAGTTACTTTTTGCGGAATGGTGCGAAACGAGTGCCGTTTCTTTTCATTAAATAAAACAACGTCGTTTTGAAGCTCGGTGCATAAGCGATTATGCACCGCGGTGCACGATATAATTTGCCAACTAAGATCAGTCCAATCAAATTGTTTTAATGGGTCTCTTCGCAAATTATGCTGTGAAAACGTGTTCACCATGCGCATGGTGAACACAGGGGTAGATCCATAATTTCTATGCTGTAGAAATTATGAATCTACAATATAGAAATTATGAATCTACAGTACGGTATAGAAATTATGAATCTACATCTCCATAATTTCTATGCTGTAGATTCATAATAATTATGAATCTACAGCTTAAAAATTATGGATCTATCTCTGTTCACCATGCGCATGATAAACACCGTTCCACAGCATGACTATTGGGGTCTCTTTATGTGGGCCGATCCGACAAAGATAGCCCAACAATTTTTTCAGGTGGGCTTTAAAAACAGATTGCACTTTAGAGTTTCCATTGCTCATGTCCTAACCAAATACTAAAATATGGTGTTAAGTACTCTCGGTGAAACTTAAACCCTTGATTTGTAGAGATCAGGTAATCAAGGGTGCTCATTTGTTTTTTTTTTTTTTTTTTCCTAAAGTGACGGAAGAAACCAGAAGTTACTATTCGTGAATTTACATTTGGTAAATCCACTCCTACGTAATAACCTGCAAACCACATAAAAAAGTAAATTATATTAGAAAAAATCTTATGCGACGTGCTCGATCGAAAGTGAATTTTTATTTATTTATTTTTTTGAACAAAGAGGGGGTGGGGGGCACCGGGACCAGGCTAGAACCCAGCCCCTATACTAGGATTGAAACACTTAACATATCGTCTATCAAACTCGAGGCTCTCCAGAACAAACTCCGGAGGTCCATCAAACTCGATCCAAGCACAGCGCCGCGTAACCGCTACCTTAACAAGAGCGTCTTCATATTTTGTCTTACAAATTTTGCAGTTAAATGTCACCCAAACAGCGCCCTTTAGTATTAGCATACAACTTTAAATAAGGGATGACGTGGTGTGTTTACTAATTGAGGAATTTTTTTTTTCTTGGAGAAATGAAAAAAAAAAAAACAATATTTACTTGTATGTCTTTCTAATTTAAAAAATAGAGAATGAAAAATATGTATGTTTTATTAATTGGAGAACTTTTCTTTCAAAAAAAATGGAGAACTTTTAAAATTTTTTGAAAAATTAGAAAACTAAATAATAGAAAATACTCGGGTTGGACTTCCATTTGAAAGGTTGTGAGTTCGAGCCTCAGTGGAGGCGTTATTGGTTCTTTGTGTTTCAGTAGGTTGAGAAAGTATATGAACAGATACTACAATGTAATAGAGCCAGTAGCATTCAAAAAAAAAATAATAGAAAATACAAAACATGCTTGCATGAGTAGCTCAGTGGATACTCTGGTGCTAGATTGCACTCAATGAGATGACTCCTGTGAACACCAAACACTGATACACCCACTTAAAATGCCTGCAAATTAGAAAAATTATTCTACAAATGAAAAACAGAATATTTATCACTTACTTGACTAGATATTTACCACCACCACATCTTTACTACATCATCACCTTATCTAGTTACATATTTGTCAATTACTATAACTACATTTATTATTATATTCTCTTATTTATCCCTATCTTTTATCCTTTCTATTTTCATTTATTTACATCCATAGAACTTATTATTATTTTTTTTGAAAGCAACCAATGTGGTTATAGTTAGAAGTAAGCCAAAATAGAGTCAGAAGGGACAGAGTCCGAGTACATAGTCATGGAATTATCCAAAACCGTAGAAGCTAAAGTATGAGCTAGTAAATTCTGTGTTCTAGGAATAAAAGAAATAGCGCAGAAATTAAAGGTTGATATGCTAGCTTTGCAGGCATTAATAGCATAGCCAACATATGATCTGGGTGGTGTTCCCGATGATGATGACAGATAGGTCTATAACGTCGGGCAATCTGTGTAAATTTGGACATCCTGTTCGCCGCGTCCCCGGAGCCACGATAAGGCCTCTTTGCACGCAAACGCCTCGGTCATGAGTGGGGAGAAACAATTTGGTAACAGGGCACTGTATGCCGTAACATATCTTCCATCGGCATCTAACAATACAACACCCATCACAGCAGAGTTCCCGTCGTGGTAGTACCTGGCATCGACAAAACATCTTCGTGGTTGGATAATGGCAGCCAGCACACTGGCCGTAACAGCGGGAACCGGCAGTGGAGTAGGGGGCTGTTCTGCTGTGGCAGAGCTGCCGGCAGCGTCCCGGTCGGTCACCGTACCGTGTACACGCTGCCATGCATGCATGGTGGCGGTTGCCGCGGTGACCACCTTCCTGGGTAGAAGTAGGTAGGCATCCCATACCGCTCCATTCCGTGCTCTCCAGATATGATATAAAATCGCAGCTGCATACACAATTCCATTAGTGTCTAGAACATTCAAGATTGCACTAAACCACTCATGGAAAACATTTGTCACAATATTGGGGAGTGGATGGTTGGATTGTGTCCATATAGAACTAGCATAACCACACAATACTAATGAGTGCATAATGTCCTCTTGCATTACTCCACACATGGCACAACTTGGATCAACATCTACCCTCTTTATAAGAAAGTTATCAATGGTGAGTAGAATATTACTTATAGCTCTCCACAGAAAAGTCTTCCATTTTGGGGGGATTTTTAGTTTCCATAGGGTGAGCCATTTATCAAAAGCTCCATCATTAGTAATTGTATAATTCCCAACAATGCGCCTGTAGCCATCCTTAACAGAATAACAACCCTTTGGGTCCCCATACCAATACCACATATAATCATAATCTGGGGAGACTGGTATCCTCAGAATCCTAGGCACATCATCTGGTTGGAAAATATCTGTCAGTATATGGTGATCCCAAGTCCCCGTATCTGGGTCTATTAGTCCAACCACTTTAGCTCCTGCCATCTGTGGGGGCATCTCTATATGGATCATAGGATCTAGCTCATCCTGGAGCCACGGGTGTTCCCAGATCAAAGTACTAGTCCCTTTCCCAATACGCCGTCTCACACCACCACAAACTAGTCCTTTAGCTGCCATAATACTGCGCCAACAGTAACTGGGGTTATTTCCTATACATGCCTCAAAAAAAGGTCTGTTTAGGGTAATACCTTGCTTGATACACACGGGATACTAACGAGCCAGCATTGGTAAGCATTCGCCATGCCTGCTTACCCAACATTGCCAGATTAAAAGCTCACAACTCTTTGAAGCCCAGACCCCCATACTTCTTTGGGATACATAGTTTATCCCATGCCTTCCAATGGATACCCCCTTCAGTACCTGACCCCCACCAATAACGGTTCATTGTTCTTTCTATCGCCGCGCACATAGATATTGGCAGTAAAAATACTCCCATTGAAAAGGTAGGCATAGCTTGAGCCACACTTTTCAACAAGATTTCCTTTCCTACCTACGAGAGAAATCTTTTATTCCACGACCTAATCCTTTGCCTGATTTTATCCTCATTATAAGCAAAAACTGCTTTCTTATTTCTCCGAACAAACGAGGGTACGCCTAAATACTTTCCAAAATTAGGAGCCTGGGTTACTCCTAACACCTGTGCTACCACTTCCCTATCCTCCTCATTCGTATTCTTACAGTAACATATACTGGACTTATGGTAATTAACCACTTGCCCAGATAGTGCCTCATATTGGGACAAACAGTTTTTAACCCCAGTGGCCTCCTGCATATTAGCTTTGAAAAATAAAAGGATATCATCTGCAAAAAATAAGTGGGAGATTGGGGGGCACCTCTAGCAACCCTGCATCCATGAATCAGACCAGTGTCCTGTGCCTGCTGTAGCAATAAAGAGAGTCCTTCAGCACAGATAATAAAAAGATAGGGAGATAGGGGATCACCCTGTCTTAATCCCCTCGTGGGCGTGATCGACTCTGTATGAGACCCATTAATTAGAAAATTGTACGATACTGTAGAAACACACATCATAATAAGTTTAATCCACTTCTCATCAAAACCCAGAGCTACAAGCATCCCTTGCAAGAATGACCACTCCATACGGTCATAGGCTTTAGCCATGTCTAGTTTGAGAGCTCCCCAACCAACAGCTCCACATTGTTTCCTATTCAAATAGTGTCCCACTTTTGCAGCTATCAAAATATTATCAGTGATAAGCCTATCTGGTATAAAAGCACTCTGCGAGTCTGAGATAATATCCCCCATCATGGGCTTCATTCTGTGGGTATCATCTTAGCCATCACCCTGTATACCACATTACTTAATGCTATAGGCCTTAGATATGTGACCAGCTCAGGTGTAGTTTTCTTAGGGATCAACACGACATCCATATTATTCAAATCAGGGGCGAAGAGCACGTATTCAAACAATTCAATATAAAATCTGAAAAATCCCCCCTACCACATCCCAGAAATGCTGATAAAAACCTGGATTCATTCCATCCGGGCCTAGGGCCTTATCAAAAAACATTGCGAAAAGTGCATCTTTTACCTCAGCTATCTCAAAAGGTCGTAGCAACATTTCATTCTGAGCCTGGGTAACCCATGGCGCTACTTTTTGAAAAAATGGCTCCCCATTTACCAGGCTACTAGAACAAAATATTTTACCAAAATAGTCAAGAACAACATTCTGCATGGCACTCCCTTCTACCCACTCCCCATCATCATTCATAAGCTTAGACAAAATATTCTTTTTTCTACGATGAGAGGCATACCTGTGATAGAACTTTGCACTGGCATTAGCATTTTTAAGCCAGTGATGTTTAGCTCTCTGCCTCCAGTAAGCATCATCCTGAGCCTCCATATTATTCAGGGTTTCCTCCAGATGTTGGAACTCAGCCAAAGTAGCCATGTCAGTGCGGCCTCTGAGACGCGACTATTCCCTGCGCAGCTCCATGATCTTCTCCCCAAACTTATGATATCGATCTCCTCCCCATTTTGACAAACAATTTCCACAGTGCGAGATACAATCCTGCAAACCCATACTCCTCCCATCACCCCATGATCTCTCCACCACCTCCCTGCACCCCTCGCCATATAGCCATGCCATCTCAAAACGGAAACCCCTCCGTCTCATGCTTCCTTGCTCATTATAACCATGTATCCCTAAAAATATGGCTGAGTGGTCTGATTTCCTTGTCAATATATTCGTGACACTGGCCCCAGGAACCACACCACGCCAACCATCCGTCACCAACACCTTGTCTAATTTCTCCTCAATCCAGTCCTCCATGCCCTTTCCTTTTTCCCATGTAAACTGATACCCATTTGTTGTCAACTGTGATAACCCACACTGCTCAATAACCTCCCCAAATCCACGAAGAAGATTATCAGGGTGTGGATTCCCTCCTCGCTTCTCATACTGATATAAGAGATCATTAAAATTGCTCACCATAATCCATGGAAGGTCAGATCGTGGTGCTAGCGATTTAATCAGATCCCAAGCCTCATACCGCCTATGCCGCTCTGGAAAACCGTAATAGCATGTCATTCTCCAGTTCGGAAAACCCGTAATACTCACCTCCACATCAATATGATTTTTCAGAAAGCTAAAGAGCATTGCTGTATTATTCTTTCGCCACAACAAAGCTAGTCCGCCGCTTAGACCGTTTCTACCACTACTATCAACATAAAAAAGGCCATCGAAACCAAGTTGGACACGTATACGCTCAGCATGTATGCGTCCCACCTTAGTCTCCATGAGAAAAACAAAATCTGGCTTCTTACGTGACACAATGTCTATCACTTCGCGAACTGTTCGTGGATTGCCCAAGTCACGACAGTTCCAGCTTAGAGTACTCATGATGATGGGCGGGCCAGGGAACCAGAACCCGCCATGAACAAGATTTTTGAAACCTCTGTCATTGCAACATCCCCATTATCATCACCCTCCAACCCATTACCACCATCCCCTTCCCGCCTCCTCTTCGTAGCCGCCACAAGAATCTGCTCGAGCCCCTGCCGGCCAGAACCTGACCCCGCGGCATTACCGCCGAACTTGGCTCATGAACTCAACTTTGATTATCTTCGTTGTCAAGAATCGGCCTACCAACCTCCACGTCGCCCTTGCCTCCACCGTCTCCTCTGCGTCATCCTGCCCCGTCGGTGCGAACACCTCCTCTTCCTCCGCTAAGGCCATGTCCGCCCACCGCTCGGACAAACGCTCCACAACACCTGCTTCCGTTGCTGCCTCCATACTCGTACTGTTAGTCTCGCCGACCTTCGTCGTAGAGAAGAACCAAATAAAGTCGAAGAAACCCTCGGCAATCCAAGGAAGGGAAACTGAAACCCTAGCTTAGCCTAGAGAGAGAATTAGGTTACCGAAATAAATTCCCATAGAACTTATTTAATTACGCTTAAGGTTAGATATTATTCACACTATATGAATTAAAACTCTAATCTAAACTAGATTATTCGTTTGAATATTTTTAGTTCGTTATGTTATATATCCTAACATAAAATTGGTCCATGTTATAATCTAAGATTGTGCCAAAGCAAGTCTTTAATTTATCAATATAGACTTTTAAAACTCCATATTTTTAGTTCGTTATGTTATATTGTAACATAAGTTTGGTCCATGTTATAATCGAAGATTGTGCCAAAACTAGTCTTTATCAATGTTGACTCTTAACACTCCATATTTTTAGTTCGTTATGTTATATATATCCTAACATAAGTTTGGTCCATGTTACATTCTAAGATTGTGCCAAAGCTAGTCTTTATCAATGTGGACTCTTAACACTCCCCTCAAGTGAACAACTGGACCTGACAACTAAGGGTGCGTTTGGAAACCCGAAAAATGACTTCTGGAAAATGTTTTCTAAGTTTTCAATGTTTGGCAAGAGGGAGGAAAATGAGGTCAATGGAAAATGATGCATTAGTCAAAGGAAAATATGTATGTTTTGGGGAAAAATGACTTCCCTTTTTTTTAGGGAAGTCATTTTCCAAGGAATGCACATGTAAAAATTTTCGTGCCTAATTTTTTGCGGGCTTTTGCGAGTCGGCCCACCAAACCCGCAGCCTAGAGTTCATGCAACCAAAGCCCGCCCCATGCGGGTAGGTGGGCTCCGCGAGCTGGTCCGCGGACTTTTTTTTTTTTTTTTTTCGTTCAAAGTTCAAAAAAAAACTACAAATAATATTAATTTTTTTTAATATAAAAATTAAAAAAAGTTACATTTTTTTGAAGAAAAAAGTTACATACAGTGTTTGGAAATGCACCATTGGGGGTGGTGAGTTATATGGTGTATTTTTTTGGGTCTGTTGTGTATTTTGTGATGTTTTATTGCATTTCATTGTTGTGTGTTTTTCTTACACTGTTGGTGCATATTGTTAACACTTTTGGTGTATTCTGGAATTCCGCCGCACCGCCGCACGGGAAGACCCCGCCGCATTTGAACTTTATATATATATATATATATATATATATATATATATATATATATATATATATATATATATATATATATATATATATATATATATATATATATAAAGAGTGCTATTTACAAAAGGATTTTATAAAAAGTATCAAATAATTAAAATTTTGAAGTATTCAATTCTTTTCATTTTCCTACTCATTTTCTGGAAAATGAACCAAACACACAAAGACAGTTTTCCGTTGCGTAGCCAAACACCAAAAAGAAAAATGTTTTCTGAAAAATGACTCATTTTCCAGAAGTCATTTTCCTGATTTACAAACGGAGCCTAAGTCATTTTGATCTAACTGATTAACCACTTAAAATTGAATAAGTTCCATATTATAATATAAGATGATTGAGTCATGGTCACACAATAGGGCTATAATGCACATAGGTCAAACCACACTAAAAGATTGAATCTAATCAATTAGCTAATATAACCTATAACCTTATAAACTCATATATATATATATATATATATATATATATATATATATATATATATATATATATATATATATATATATATATATATATATATATATATATATATATATAAAGAGTGCTATTTACAAAAGGATTTTATAAAAAGTATCAAATAATTAAAATTTTGAAGTATTCAATTCTTTTCATTTTCCTACTCATTTTCTGGAAAATGAACCAAACACACAAAGACAGTTTTCCGTTGCGTAGCCAAACACCAAAAATTTTCTGAAAAATGACTCATTTTCCAGAAGTCATTTTCCTGATTTACAAACGGAGCCTAAGTCATTTTGATCTAACTGATTAACCACTTAAAATTGAATAAGTTCCATATTATAATATAAGATGATTGAGTCATGGTCACACAATTGGGCTATAATGCACATAGGTCAAACCACACTAAAAGATTGAATCTAATCAATTAGCTAGTATAACCTATAACCTTATAAACTCATATGTTATCTCTTATTTTATCAATGTAGACTGTTAACAATCCAGATATAGGATATTAAAATTTTATTTAAAAAATTAGTTCAAAAAACTATTCATATTATCTAAACTAAAACCCTAAATTTAAACTGATTTTTAAATTTTAGGTGAGCTCGATAAGTTATTGATTTGGATTTTTTAGTTGTAATATCTGGATGTAAATTTAGTTTGGATATCTAATGTTAAAGTCTCACATATCTTAATTAGACTCGAAAGTAAAAAAATATATTTGTACCGTTAAAATCCAACATATCCAAAACTCAAAATTATATTTGTGTTAATTTTATTATAACGTTATGGTCTTAAGAAAATTTATTTTGAAAATATGAGTATTAGTAATAAACAAGTTTTCTAAATAGAAAAATAGAGAATAGGAAAATAAAAAAAAATAAAAATAAAAATAAAAAAACAAAAATGAAAAACAAGATAACAAAGAAAATACCTAATTAAGTAACTGGGCGCTGATACTTGAACACTTATTCGTCAAGTCTTTAAATACTTAACTTCCCACTTTTTAGATATATAAAGAGAAAACAATTTTCTTCCTTAAGTTTATAACTAACCCTGCGACATGTGGGATATGTGGGATTGTGCATGAGGATACTGTGCATGCATTAGTTTTATGTGATTTTACAAAAACCATATGGGGACTGTTGGAAAAAATAGCTTAAAATGGCATGTTAAATGGCTATTTTGTGGTACAATTATCAATGGGGTCCACTTCCGATTTGGGTCGGGTCAAAGTGGATTCAGGTTCTTCGTAGTGAGACGAAGAGATTGATATATTGTACGCTCAAAACGGATAATGGGTGAATGAGATATTGATTCTCAAAGTAGACCCATTTGAGTTGGAAAATGAAGGGAAAAAGTGAGCTTTTGTCCCACATTGGTTTGGAAAGAGGATTTGCCCCCCTTATATACAAGAGCTCTTTTGAAGCTTGTAGAATTGTATAGCATAGAGGCTCTCTCGCGCGCGGGGGGGGGGGGGGGGGGGTGCAAATCAAATTCCAACTAGACGAGATTCAAAAAGACTTGATTCAAGCCCGAGCTCGTGTGCGGCACATGCGGGCACGAATGTCGTCCGAAAATTGGCTGGCCGTGCGAGCTAAGTTATGCCAAACGGACCGATTTTTCCAACATGCCACTGGAAGATGGCCGAAACTGTGGTCTTGGCCTCCTGGCCGACACTGGGACCCATGGCCGAAACTTCCAGTTTCGGCAGGGTCGAAACTGGAAGTTTCGGCCTACACGAACCTGTGCAGTTTTGTGACCATTGGGTGTTCAATTCTACTGTTATGGAATTAATTGTTTGAGTTAATTCTAATTTTTTAATTTTCGAATTGAAACCCAGGTTTAAGGCTGCTGTTACAGGAAGGTGGAGGGGTGCCCTTAAGTTCCTAATAAAAGCTATTTAAATCCTCCACCCCTATATAAGGAGGAGTTGGGCAGTAGAGTTTTTACA